TCTCTGTCCAATCACATCGCCACGCGGCTATTCATTGTTTATTGAACCCAAGTATAAAAACAGACAGCTAGCTTTTCCTGTGTCTTTGGGTTTTCTTTTCTCCAAGTTCTCAAGGCTTGGGATAAATCTGTGAGTCCTTTTTTCTTGTTTTGTTTTGTGTTTTGTTTTGTTTTGTTACAGAAATGTTGGCAGTGATGCCTATGATAGGTGAGAAAAGATAACTAGACCTTTCCACTTATAATTCTACAACAACTTTTGGATACTTAAACCCAAACAAATCTAGCTACACTCTCTGGTTGTATCTTTTTGCTCATTCCTCTCATTGCACACGTGTCAACACACTGTCTGCTCAAATACTGTGTGAGTTGACTTCAAGTGGCCAGCTCCTCTTTGGTGGCTACTCCCTACTCTAGAAGGAGAGCACTGCGATGAGAAATCAGGAGAGAGGCAGGGGAGTGGTACAATCCAGGGAACTATGGGGAGGAGAGCCTATTGTGAGGCAGAAATATAGGGTACCCCCAGTAAGACAGCCTGCAGACAGGAAAGGAAGAATCACACAGTATTATGGCCAGAACGGTCAGTACACAAGAGCAAGTTCACAGTGGAGGAAGCCTGGTTCACCAGTTTTTCCACAGCTCCTGTCTGGCCCCCTGCAATTTCTGTGCAGTCTAGAGCACTGGGGCCAATAGAATGTGATTGTTAGCAGGGTCTTTGGACAGGCTGGGAAGAAACCATAGTGAAACCATAATGAAATTGGAAAATAATAAGGTTCTTAAAATTTCAGGAAGTACATGCTAAAATTGGCCCTTAGCCTTGCTGCTGACTTCCTTTGTAACAAGGTCCAAAGCAAATTACTACACCTTAATGGGTGCAGCTGTAAAATGGAGTAAATGGTGCCAAGAAGTATGGCTGGGACCCTTGTCACTGGGCAGGCATTAATAAATGACAAAGCACTCGTGAGAACAAAGTCCCACCAAAACTCATGCAGATAGGCCCAGGGAAGGCTTTGGAATCCCTTCTCCCAGAGGGCCTCTACAGGACGTCAGCAATTTTTCCTGGAAGATTTGGGTCAAAGAGAAATTGACTGCCCCTGGGCAGCATGCTTCACTAGCGGAACCAGAGTGGAATGGCCAGACCCAGCAGGGGGTTGTACAGCGGACCCAGCTAAGAGCTGCAAAGCAAACAGACACATTTGTACCCACAGGACAAATACAGATGGACCCAGATTTTCATGGTGCCCTGAAGGCCTACACAGGAAAACAAAAACACATCTTTCTCATGAGACCCTGAGTTATCATTTCTCTGTGTCTGCAGTTGCCTAAAATCCTGGACCCAAACACAGACACGATTTTTCCTTTATTAAAGCTTTCTCTTCTTGGACCTCTGCCATGCTCCATCGCTCACTTCTGCTGCTTGATAAGGGAAACACTGCACATTATTTAGAAAAACATCTTGCTTATAATTATGACTGCCAGGAAGAAGGCAGAAACAAAAAATTAGCACTGATGAGCCTCACTCAATGATGTGTGGCTCCCTTTTAGGTGCCTCTGCAAACCTTCACAACAACCTGGAGATAGTTTACAGTACCCTCTCTCCCATTTTTTTTTTTCCCCAGATGAAGAAACGTGGCCTGTAGGTGGTGTAACTAGGATCAAAGACTGGCAACCTGCACAACATCACACTGCCTTCCCACCATTCTGAGCTGAAGGCAACCAAACTGAACATCCATAGTCCTGGTTTGAACTAAAAGACTATTAAAAAAGTTATTTTTAGTTGCTTTTGAGTTGAGTCCCTGCTACCCAAATGGGAGATGTCAATTGAGTTCTGGACGCCTGGCTTCTGTTTCATCTGGTCCTTGCTCTCAAGGGTACTGTGGGGAGTAAACCAGTAGATAGGGGACCACTATCTTTCTCTTTGAAATCAACAAACGATATCAATTAAGACACATATATATTTATTGTTGCTTACAGTAAAATCCACTTAAAATTCAGTATTTTGGGTATAAATTTGTGTACACTGTGACATAACTACCAACAAAATCAAGATGTAAAGAGGAAGGGAAAGGAGGAAGCTGTTATACCTACAATATTATGTCATGGAAAACAATAACATTAAAAATAAGTTTATTTTGGTACAAAATGTGCTAACATCTATGCATTTTTAACATACGATTTCCATAAGTTTGTAAAAGATGTTATGCACATATCTGATAAAAAAATTTTTGGAAAGTAGGAACAATAAAATATTAGCAACTATAATCAAAATATAGATTATAATAATATATTATAACAGAACTCATGTGGATGTGGTCTCTCTCTCTCTTAGTGTTTTAAACTGTATATTTTAGTAACCTCAACACGTGACTTTTTTCCCTTCCTTTATTAAGTTAAAGACTTCTCACCTTCTCTTAGATATCTGCCAATGACCAGCACCACTACTCGTGTGCTTGGAACATTATTCAGTAAAATAAAGATTATGTGAACCCAAGCGCTGCCATACAGCAACAACTGATCTGACGACCAAGGCAGTTACTTAAGTGTTGAATGGGCGGCAGAGTATCAAGTGTGGATAGGCTGGATGAAGGAATGATTCATGTTGCAAGAAGGGCTGAGCAGGACGGCAGAGACCTCATCATATCATCCGGAACTCAATTTAGAACTTATGAATTGTTTGCTTCTCGAATTTTCTATTTAATAGTTTTGGACAGCAGACGATCATGGATAAAAGAAAGCAGAGTAAGTGGAACCACAGATAAGAGGGGGTTACTATTCAAACCTGTTGCTTCAGCATGAGACTGCGTAGATGGCACTGAGTGAGAGCTTTTGAAGTCCCCTCCAGAGCACCCTGTCACTAAGAAAGCCACAAACAAATCATGGGACATCTTCTGCCGTGGGTGCAGAGGAAGCAGGAGGCTCGGGGTGGAGAGTGGGGTGGCAGCCTGTGGGACTCCTGCACTCAGTTACAGAAATCCAAATGGTCATTCTCTGATAAGCCTCTAACTCTTCATGTATATAGGACCCCAAGCTTCATATCTTTGTCACAACTATATATATAGTTATATATATAGCTAGGATCTTCTGTCTTTGGAACTGCATTTCTGAAGACTCTTATATCACATAAAGCTTTATATTAAATAAATGTGCATGCTGTCCTGGTAATCTGTCTTGCAGGCAACTCAGCCATGACTCATCAGCATCTCTGGATAGAGCACCCTGGGCCAAGCTTGGGGATGAGAAAGCTGTCAGAATCGGAAAGTCAAGCCCTAGCCAAAAACACATAAAGCAATCACTCCAGGAGTTAATGAAGGAGGGGGCTTCACATGTCTGATAACTAGATCTATCACAAAAGATGAGAACTATTACAAAAGTCATTACTATTTGCACAGAAAGCACTGTACCAGGATGACTGCTCTGCACATCTTGCTTTACCAGCCCAGGCTGGATGGGTACCACCTTTTATTACTGATGCCTGTAGCCAAGGACAATAGTTTCACAGTGATTTATGTCATCTGCCTCATGTTGCTTTCAAAAACTTTTCCTTTGTCTTAACCTCCTGGAAATGCACACTGTTTACTAAGCCCTTTGCATTCCCATTGCAATATCCACCCCGAAGTAAATATATTAATCTTTGGAGGATTATTCTGTGTTATTTAGGTCAGCAGGAGGATTTCACCTGCAGTGGCTGGATTAACAAAGGAGCTTAGATCGATCATCTGTACTTCCATATTGAGCCTAATGTGATTTGGCCAGCAAGGATTTCAGACTGACAATAGCCTAGGTTCTCATAAACTCATTCAATTCAAATAAAGAATCGAGGATCAATTTTCTCTGCAGTGCAGAAGACAGTCACTAAATGTCATGCTCCAGTAAAGTGCGTGAGAGCGGACTCTGCAAAGGCCATGGGCCTGCAGACACAATGTGAACTGTGATGGGGAGAGGAATGCTTTCTCTAGCTGCTAAGGGTGAATTCTGGCAAAGGCTCAGGAAAGGACTTAATGACTAAAACAACCATCAACCATGAAATAGCCAAGCAGCAGGTTCTTCCAGCCTCCAGGCTTCTATTTACTTTTGATACTCAAAAATACCTGATAACCTAGCCAAGGATCCCTGGAGACTGGCATGACTGCAGTGAGATCAGCAAAAGGTTCCCTGGGCACTACTGCATTAAAAGGATTCTTGTTGGAGTGAGAGGGGCAGCCCAGCACGGTAGCTTAGCGACTAAAGTCCTTGCCTTGAACGCTCCGGGATCCTACATGGGCACCAGTTCTAATCCTGGCAGCCCCGCTTCCATCCAGCTCCCTACTTGTGGCCTGGGAAGGCAGTCGAGGAGTGAGAGGGGCAGTGAGAGAGAAGAGGCAGGTGTTAGGGACAATCAAGTTGAGAAGACAGAGATGGGAGTGTGGGGGAAGAGAAGGATGGAGGCAGAGAGAGAGACCTGTTCATCTAGGTCAGCTTCCAGTGCAGAGTTAAGTAACCACATTTGCATTTGTAACACATATATCCCAGACCAAATATTAGTTCTTGTTTTTATGAAAAAGCACATTACAACCATTCATTATGATCTGACTTTGGTAAAAAAAACAACAGCACATATATATGCTTGATTCATGCAATAATAATATATATTTTAAATACATAATTAAATATCACTCATGACATGGATGCTTTAGAACTTATAAAATGACTATAAGTAATATGGGGATACAGCATGTATTCTATATAAAGCAATTCCATATTTGCCTGTATATTGTAAATCCAGCCACATTAGTATAAAACGAAACTAAGTATGTAAAATTTTTCCTGTCTATTCTTCTCCATTTAAACTTTCTTCTTCAAAACTGTATTAATTTTGTAATCATATCCAACAGCCATGAAAATTTTTCAAAGTGTCCATGGTTTGATAAAAAGCCTACCCCAAATGAACTGCTCCCATGTGGAGCATGATCCCAAAGCACCTCTCAGAGGAGCTCCTCCTGTGGGGGCCATGCTGAAAGGACATACCTCTTTCTGTTCACCTCCTTTGCAGTGAGGATGAGGGGACTGAGTCTTCTGCTCTTGGAGAGGCTGCAATGGGATCTTCCTGTCCTCTTCAGAATAAGAACTGGGAGGGATGGCGCCAGCAACTGTTGAGGTAGCTTGTTCTACGTCATCCATCTGCCCCTCATTTTCCATAGGCAGGCTGCCCCTGGCTTCCTGGAGCTGCAGACTCTGGAGAAGCATTCGACAAGCTTCCAAGTCAGCTTCCCACACTTTTCCCAGCAGTGGACATTTGCAGCTAAGACAAAAGGAAAACAAAAACACAAAAATTAGCTCAGTGGTAAGTCAATAACTGACTTTGCTGGATCTAAGTCTACTAGACATGTTATTCTTAATTTCATCTCATATGGTGACAGATTATTTCAACCAGATTAGAAAGCCAAATTTGTATGCCATCATGTTCTCATACAGCAAGTGTTGGTTCTTCTTAGCTGCTTGGTCTTCTATAAGGCCATTGAAACACAGTTGCCCAGTATAACACAGTCTCTACCCACATCTATGTTCAACCTGCTCACTTCCCTTGGGTCCACAGCTCTAACTCTCCCCAGCTCAGTACATTTGTATGCACTATTTTGATCTACCTGGACCATTTCTCTCCCATACCAGTTCATATACAACCGGATCTATTTCCAGCTGAACTACATTATCTTCATATGTCAGTTAAACAACCTTTGCTTGTGGGAATCTTCCCTGCCTTCCAACTAGAATCTTATTCTTTTTTCTTTAACACCTGTACTTTTCCTTTACACTATTTGATAATAATGCTAATTATTTACATGATTAATGGTTTTGGTCTTTGAGATCAGGTTTATATCTTATTTTCCACTCTGTTGTTAAAACCAATTAACATGAATCATGAACTCAAATTCTAGAGTGTCCAGTACAAAATATAAACGAATGGAGCCAAACAGAGCTGATCTTAAAGCTGCAACACATATTCACCTTTGGTGCCACAAGAAAGCAGAAAGGATGATTCTGGCAGAGAATGAGCAACATTTTCTTGTACAGAGCCTGTTACCAATTCAGTCCAACTAAATCTACAGGACAAGTGAACATGACATAGACAATTTTTTTGTTTGCTTTTCATGTAAAGTCAAAAAAGCTTGCATTCATCCACTGTTTTAATTTTAGATACCTTCTATTATCTTCCATTTATAATCCTTTATTGTACTCCAGCGAATCAAATTCATAAATTTTGTTCTACATTTTTATTGCTTTTTTAAAATTGGTTTTTACTTTGTAAAGAAAAATTGCATAAAAGAGACAGACACTCAAAATGCGGAGGGGGGCAAGAGACCCTTCTAGCCCCTAATTCACTTCTCAGATATCTGCAGTGCCTAGGACCATAGCCAGGAGCTACAAACTTCCTCCAGCTCTCCAGTTTGAAAAACCAATTACTTAGGTCAACTTTCTCCCAAGAGTCAGCACTAACAGAAAGCTGGAGTTAGAACCCAGAGCAAGGAATTGAATCAAGTACTTTGGTAGGGAATGTGGGCATATGAAATAACCTCTTAACTGTTAGGCTAAATAGTTGCTGCCCTTTCTAGAAATATTCATTCATTTAGTTTTTGAGAGGTAGAGATAGAGGAAGAGATTAGAGACGGTGACTTTTAAAAAACATCTTCCACTTCTCTGTGGAAATTCTCCATCACATTCACTACTTTCTATGACATACGATTATTTTAAAGATCATAGTTATTTGAAAGAGGGAGCTACAGAGAGTAAGAGAGACCCAAAGGTCCCAGCTACTGGCTCATTCCTCAAATGGCCAAAGCTCTTGGCCCAACCCTGAGTGTGTTTCCAGGTCATTATCAGGGAGCTGGACCAGAAGTAGAGCTGCTAGGACTCCCTAACTGACACCCAGATGGGATGCTGGCACTGTGAGCAGAAGCGTAAGCCATTTCACAACAGCATCAGCCCAAGGACACATGCTTAGGCTCATCGTAGTGCATTTATTGAACATTAAAGCCAGAGAGAAGACACACTGACTTCAAAGTAATAAAAATATACTTAGAAGTCTTGGTGGAAGACAGGAGACAATCAAGTAACATTTTAAACCACGTGAAAAAGTTAAATGCCAATCCAGAATTATATAATCATTGTTATTTCTTTCAAACATAAAGGTAGGTTCTAGTGTTTTACTGTAGAGTAGGATGACTATTGTTAACTGTAACATATTGCATGTTGAAAAAGAGCTGGAAGAAAGAATTTTGAATGTTCTAATCACAAGATAATGATAGATGTTTGAGATGAGCAATATGCTAATTATTAAAATTTTATCATTATATACTTTATACACGTCTCAAAACACCACACACCACTCATAAAAAGTAAAAGCATTATATATATATGAAACAACTTAGAAAAAATATTCTTTAGATAAACAAAAAAAATTGGAAGAACTCATTGTTAGTGCATCCATGATAGAGCAAATGATGTCAGAAAGAAAAAAGATACACAAAAGTAATTATACGTATGTGGAGGAGTTTAAGTGAACGTTGTTATTAAACAGTATCCACTACTCTGTAAGGGAAGGAGCAAGTGGCAGCAATTAAAACATATCCAGATCTTGAATTTTATAGGAAGAAGTAAAAACGTCCATTATTATTGCATTGAAAAGTCAAGAACTCATGTTGAGCTACTGATAGAATTATAAAACATGAAAGTTAAAACAGCACATAAAAGGTAAACCAATATGAGAGGAAATTTTAAAAAATTTTTAGATTAGAGTTAAAATCCAAATCCAATTACATACAGTTTGGAAGAGGCATGTATTCTTTATAAGGATATGAGCAGTGAGTAAAATTAATCATATCATCATAAGGATATTTACAGTAAGTAAAAAGGAACAGTATGATATCATCAAAGCATTATTAGAGATACAGTGTGAAAGACAATCTTCTGAACATATTTTGTTATGGCAATTGTCAGTATAGAAAAGATCCAATCATGATTACTTGATCACAGCATAAATATATATATACATTTCAGGCAAATTGCAGAACATATAAATAGTATCTTTATGACTGTGTACCAAGCAGGTTATAAAAAAAAAGAAAGTTAAAAGTACTAACCATAAGGAAAATGATACGAAAAGAAGGCATCTCAATGATCACTACATACCTCACAAAAAGTACTGAAACACCAGTAATCGTCAGGGAAAAGCACAATAAAACATAGTGTGATGTACTACAAATAACAAGGTGACTAAAGCCATACTAACAAGCCATATAATACCAAGTGTTGGAAAGATATGGAACTGTGAGAATTTTCATTAGCTTCCAGTGTGACTGTGCATAAACAGAATATCCTTGAAAATTCTTTGATCAGTCTACAAACATGGAACAACAGGCCAACCACATGACCCACCAACACAACTTCTAGGTACAGAGGCAATAAGATGCAAATGCATACAGCTGACTTCTGTGATTCACAACAGGTATGTTCTAAAGAGTCAACGTCAATGCTTAATTAGCATCACTCCTGGGGTGAGGTTTCTGCAATAAAACTGAGCTTCTGGTCAATACAGAACATTAGTTCATGTGTATTTCTGTTCAAAGACACTTTAACATATGTTAATTCATTAACATTGAACAGACTACTAACAGCGTTACATAACTCATGAATGAGTATGGCTTTTGTAATTATTGGATTTTCTTCATATGGCCCCCTTCACAGCCTTCCTACGATGAGGAACACTAGATGGCACTTTGGCGCTGCACTTTAGGGGCCTTTGTAAACAGTAAAATCACCCCCAAATAGACACAAAATGAGAAAACATGGCACTGAGCAGAAAGACCAAAAAACACTTGCTTACAGTATGAGAGCTGAAACAAGAAAGCAGCCATTGTTTTCTGTTGATTTTGAACTTACAAGTAAACGTTAATGAGTAGCTGAATCAGAAATATGTAATCCATGAGTAACAAAGATAACCATGAGTAACAACGATAAAACATGTCAGCAGTCATGCAACATTGTAACAAAAACTGGAGTAAAAATCCAATGTCCATAAATGGCAGAGTGGATATAGCCATGTGATGGAACATCAGACTTCCAAGAAGAGGAAAAAAAGCCTGCTGCACATAACAATATGCACAGGCATCATAGATATAAAGTGGACCAAAAAAAAATGACCCACTATGATTCTATCTGTTCTTTCCACAGTCTTACCAATGACCTTTGCGAGAAGAGGAGTAGCAAGACGTAAGAGCCTTAGGGAGCTTAGCATGTACAGGAAGTATGCTCATTTCTGAAAACTTGCCAAGTAATGCATCCATAATTCACCCTCTGATTAAGCCCTGTGCTAGCTGCAATTTTCAGTCAAAGAAAGGACAGAACTTCTGACCAATGCCCTGGGTCAGAAGGGAAAGTGTGGGCTCTAAATGAAGTGATCATCCTTAGGAGCACTGGACTTACATGTATTCGTATTCTGATTTTAGTCAGTCTCACAGACGTGTAGTGTGTCTTGTTGCCTGAATGTATATTTATCTTCGGAAATCACTTTGTGACTACTCAGATCTTCTTCTGTGTATTATCTTTCCATATCCACCAACTGTTTTTGTTGTGGTTTGTTTGTTTTTTCCTTTCTTGGTTTCCCCGTGCATTATCCTAAGGCTTTTGCTGAAAAGCGTCATTACCATGGCACTGTTTTTGGTTTTTATAGTCTTCTCATGCTTACTACCTCCTTGGTGTTCATTTTCATATTTTATTTGCTCTGGAGAAATTAATTCATTTTCCTATGCATTTCAAATATAGTGCTATTTATTTATTATTGGAAAGTCAGATTTGCAGAGAGAAGGAGAGACAGAGAAAGCTCTTCTATTCACTGATTCACTCCTCAAGTGGCTGCAATAGCTGGAGTTGGGCTAATCCAAAGCCAGGAGCCAGGAGCCTCTTCCAGCTCTCCCATTGGGTGCAGGGTCCCAAGGCTTTGGGACATCCTTGACTGCTTTCCCAGGCCACAAACAGGGAGCTGGAAGGGAAGCAGGGTAGCTGGGGCATGAATTGGCGCCCATATGGGATCCCAGTGCATACAAGACACAGGACTTTAACCCCTAGGCTACTATGCCGGGTTCCTTATTCACAATTTTTAGACTGTTCTGAAAGATTTATTTATAGATGTCGCTTCATTCTGTTTTATGTATTTGTTTATTTTCTGATTTATCTTACTCAGTCTTATCAGAGATTTTCTTTCTTACTAATCCTTCCAAAGAGCCAACTTTAGGTCTACGAGTGCTG